GGGAAAATGAATATTTTTGAATTTTTGGATAAAATTAGCGATAGTTTAAAAACCATCGCTAAAAATTTTAATCCCTAATAGCCACTCGACTTGAATTTTTTCCCCAAATGTGTTTTCCTCTCTTCTTTTTCTTCTTTTTCCAACCGCGATTTTCTCCTACTCATTATCTCGCTTAACTTCTTCAAATCTCCTTCTTTCTCTTATTTTCTTCTTCCCCTCCACTCTCCCCCTTTCGTCCTCCCTTTTCTTTTTCTTTCTCCCCCTTCCCTCCACCTCTTTTAATCGAGCCTCTCCATTGTGAATAGTGCCACGGCAGCAGCTCCTCCTCCTTCTTGGTGGCAATTCCTCCCTCATCTAACCCTCAAACTATCTTATTGGTAACCTATTTATTCATTTTTGTTATTGCAATTATTAAATTTTATATTAATTTTTGTTCTTAATTATTATTGTTAATTATTGTTGTTGTTTATTATTTATTAGTTAATTATTAATGTAATTGTTGTTCTTAATTGTGTTATTGTTCTTAATTATTTATTCTTTAATTAGTTAGTTTAATTCTTGTATTTAAATAATTTAATTGCTCATTAAATATCTAATAGGTGGTGTTAATTTAATTAAATAAACTATTAATTTTTTATTAAGTGATTTTTAATAAAATTAATTAAATTTAGGCAAATTAAATTATTTAATTATATTAGTGTTAGTTTAATTATATTTATAGGTGTTAATTCAATTTTAATTAATTAAATTTATTATTTGTTAATTAAAAATTAAAATTGATGTGTTATTATTATCATTTGTTTTTGGAAAAGCATGTTTAATTAATTAATTAATTAATTAATTAATTATATATATATATATATATATATAGGTGTCAATTTAATTAGTTTTGATAGTGAGTGGAAAATCTTAAAGCAAGGTAAACTTTTTTATTGGTTCCCATTTTGTGAATTATTTTAGGTAGATTGACTTTCTTATTGTTTTTTTTTTCCAGCTTCAAGGGCATGGGTCATTGGATAGAAAAGTTGAGCTTTCTGATTTCCAAGAGGTTAATGGATCTCACCTCAAAGCTATGGTAATGGAATGAAAAATTCCATTTATTTGTGTCCCCAAATTATTGATTAGTCATTTTAATAAAAATAAAACAAATTGTGTTTCAAATAGTAGTTTAGAACTACGATGATTTTTTTAATTTTTTTTTTCGAGAATTCCTCGATTAGAATGTGTGTATTTATGAAAATAGAAAGAAAAAAAAACAATTACGAATATATACCCTCATGCAAAAAATGACTAATCAAGTTATTAATTCAACAGGAAAACTATGACAATCTAAAAAATAAAGAAGTTCGATCAAAGTGACATCCAAACAACACTTACAGCAATCAGCAAAACAGAAAAGTGATTTAACTAATAAAATTAGTCACTTTCAAATATTTATTACTAATAATAAGTTTCGTTTTGTATGTAATTAATAATTTATTTATATTTTTATTATTGAGACATTTGTCAAATAACCATAGGTATTTTATGAAAATTAATATTTTTGAAAATCGAATGCAGTTCTAATAGACTCGCATTTCATCAAACAAAATAAGAAATTGTTTAAATAATTTTTTTGAGATGCATTAAAGAATTAAGAAAAATAGCAAATAAATATTGAAAATCAATAAATAAATATCAAGCTTCATGACTCCAACAAGCCTAGTCACATAAATCATTAAAGTTGTTATGGACAAATCCGTTCACAACGCTCATTGATTTGTTCACCACTTCACACTATTTTATACATAGAAACCATATTGTAATACTATTTTATACATAAGAACCATAATGAATAAATGTGGAGTTAAGAGTTTAAAATAAAAAATATTTAAAAAATAGAATTAGTATGTAAGGAATATATTAAACAAATTTGTGGTTAACGAACAGAAATAAAAAAATTAATGAAGAGACTTGTTGGTGACACGTTATTTTTTATGTAGTGAATAAAACGCATTGCATTAAAGTGCAGGGGCTAAGTGAATATAATGATCAAAATACTTAATTTCTTTTGTAAAATCTAAAATAATTTAATATTCAGGAAATATATAGAATAAATTTGAGTTTAATGCATTGAAATAAAAATTAGTGCAAATATAATTGACTTGATGGTGAAACATTATTTCATATGCAAGGACAAAGTCACGTAACTTTAAAGTCTAGGGACTAAATTAAATATAATTACAAAAAAACCTTTGAATTTTGTTTTGTAAACTAAAAAAAATATTTCGAAAATATATTGAATAAATTTAAATTTATTCACTAGAATTTAAATTTGAGCAAACATAGTTAACTTGTTGGTGACATGTTATTTCATATGCAAGGACCAAATTGCAGATATTTAAAGTTTATGAACTAAATTTCATATAATCACATAAAAAACTGAATTTCTTTTTTATGCCAAATCACGTTCTTTTGGCTTCTTTTTTGAGGTTGAGAATTTGGCTTCATTTTTTAGGTTGAGAAAATGGTTTTTTTTTTTTTTTTTTAAAGTTAAAATAATCAATTTCAAATATTTATTAAAAACAACGATTTCTTTTTATGTGTATATATTTATATATTTATTATCGAGATGTTTGTGAACTAGATAAGAAACAGCAAGTATCAATTCGATGGCTCACTACAAAAATAATTGTAGTTTGCGACAGGAAATTAACGACGGTTTTTAAACCGTCGCTAATCAATAAAACATTTCGACGGTGAGGAAAAAAACAGTAATTTGTGAGGAGTTTAGTGATGGTTTTTTAAAACCATAGCTATTTTGGTCAAATCTGATCGATTTTTGCGACGATTTTTTTCAAATTGTCACAAATTGACACAACATTAGCGACAATGCAACAGTTTTCAAAGCTGTCCCTAATTTTAATTTATTAATTTATTTTTTTTGCTTTGTAAGGAAATTGCAATGCTTTTTTTCAAAAAACCGTTGCAAATATTCCAAAATTAAATCATCGCTAAATTTTGATTGTTGAGGGGAAATGAATTTTTTTTTTGAATTTTTTAAGTAAAATTAGCGACGGTTTTCTAAATTTTGACTACTGGGGGGGGGGATGAATATTTTTAAATTTTTGGGCAAAATTAGCGACGGTTTAAAAACCATCGCTAAAAATTTTAATCCCTAATAGCCACTCGACTTGAATTTTTCCCCCAAATTGTTTTTCCTCTCTTCTTCTTCCAACCGCAATTTTCTCTTACTCATTATCTCCATAACTTCTTTAAATCTCCTTCTTTCTCTTATTTTCCTCTTCCCCTCCACTCTCCCCCTTTCGTCCTCCCTTTTCTTTTTCTTTCTCCCCCTTCCCTCCACCTCTTTTAATCGAGCCTCTCCATTGTGAATAGTGCCACAGCAGCAGCTCCTCCTCCATCTTGGTGGCAATTTCTCCCTCATCTAACCCTCAAACTATCTTATTGGTAACTTATTTATTCATTTTTGTTATTACGGCTTATTAAATTTTATATTAATTTTTGTTCTTAATTATTATTGTTAATTGTTGTTGTTGTTTATTATTTATTAGTTAATTATTAATGTAATTGTTGTTGTTAATTGTGTTATTGTTGTTAATTATTTACTCTTTAATTAGTTAGTTTAATTGTTGTTATTTAGAAAATTTAATTGTTAATTGTTGTTGTTTTATTATTTATTGATTAATCGTTAGCTAGTTTTAATTAATTTTTTTATTATAAGTAATTGTTATTTGTTGGTTATTAAATTAAATGTAATTATTTGTATTTAAATAATTTTGTAAGAGTTAGTCTAATTAATTATGTTTTTAATATTTTTTGTTTAGTTGGTTATTGATTTAAGTGTAATTGTTTGTATTTAAATAATTTAATTGCTCATGAAATATCTAATAGGCGGTGTTACTTTAATTAAATAAACTATTAATTTTTTATTAAGTGATTTTTAATAAAATTAATTAAATTTAGGCAAATTAAATTATTTAATTATATTAGTGTTAGTTTAATTTTATATATAGGTGTTAATTCAATTTTAATTAAGTAAATTTATTATTTGTTAATTAAAAAATTAAAATTGATGTGTTATTATTATCATTTGTTTTTGGAAAGGCATGTTTAATTATATATATATATATATAGGTGTTAATTTAATTAGTTTTGATAGTGGGTGAAAAATCTCAAAGCAAGGTAAACTTTCTTTTTGGTTCCCATTTTGTGAATTATTTTAGGTAGATTGACTTTCTTGTTGTTTTTTTTTTTTTTTCAACTTCGAGGGCATGGGTCATTGGATAGAAAAGTTGAGCTTTCGACACTACACCAAAAAAAGGTATTGCGGGCGGTTTTTTTATCTTCTGGAGGCGGTTATAACCATCTCTACAAATTATAAAGGTGATTTTTGGACCGCCTCAAAACCGCTCCGCAATGCCATCGTCTTTACGATGTAGAGGCGGTTTTGCCAACCGTCGAGGAATTCGAGGTGGTTGGTTAAGGCGGTTTGAACCATCTCAAAAAAAAATTTTTTTAGGCGATTTTGACTCGCCTCTATGATGCTAATTTTATCTTTTATAATGTTGGTACGTAATTTTTGAGGCGGTTTAGAACCGCCTCTACTTTCTCTCATTTTTAAAAAATTTGGCACAAAATATTTGGGGTGGTTACAACTGCCGCAAGGTTTAAAATTTATGGGGGCGGTTTACAATTTATAGAGGCGGTTGTAATGGCCTCATTTGTTTTTAGAAATCTTTGGATAACAATAAGACATTTTTTAAGGTAATACACAACGAAACTAAGGAGAAGAAAATGCCTTCAAAGACAAGATCACATCAAACGACAAAATCTTTGGCTAAATAACGGTGTCGATGCACCATCTATTGAGTTAAAAGTACTAGAGAACAATCGGATAAAGCTACTAGTTGCTATCAAACTCTCATTCAGTTTAGGTTTCGGAGAGGATTGTTATATACAAGAAAATTATGTGTCATAGTATAATATCAATAAATACTCTACACAAAAGCTTCACGGACGAGTAGGGTGTAGAGGCGGAGGATGCATTGACAATCCGTCTCTTCCATCCCTCCAGCATCCAGTGGCCATCTTCTAGTGCACATTGAATTAGAAGTCCTCAAATCAACAACTTGTTATTTCCTTGTCTCTTAGCTCGAGTCTTGCTACCATTAGATCCCTTTGTTTGCCCATTCCGTTGTAACATTTTGCTTGGCTCATACTTGTTCAATCTAACATATCAAACATGTTTGATAATTTGCTCTCATCTACTACGGACGACTTGTTACTTCTTTCTTCATCAAAATCTCCATCCTCCCACTCATGGTTCTTCTTTCCTGTCAACCATTCGATCAAATACTCCCCGTTTTCCTTATCGGCCTTCACTACCACCTTTAGGGCATTTCTATTCATCTTTGGAGCCAATAAAATGGTCTCCAAATTCGATCAACCTAAGCGATCATTTGAATAGAAAAAATAAACAAAGACCGTACTTATTGAACTAAAAGTACTTACATCATGAACAACATCCCTTAATGCTTGGACTTGCTCCCTTGAGACCGTCTTGACTCGTTTATAGAAGAACGCATTAGAACAATCATATACATCATGTCGGTGAAGAAGATATATTGAAATGGAATATGAATATTTTGGTAAAAGCACCTTCTCGATTATTGTCCAAACAACACTTTCGAGTGCATAGAGGAACCGTAAGAGAACCAACATATCCGTAATATTTTTTTCTCCCAAATTTGATTTCTCCTGGGTTGATAATCCCCACGTCTCTCTTTTTATGGTCAACATAGGTTATACGGTTGAACAACTGCCAAAAGAAGGAAACAAGTAACACTCAAGAAGAGAACTTCGATTTACTGATTTGAATCGAACCATTAACATGTATGTAACTAAGTTCAAAAATCAAACTCCTTATATGGTTTGTCATGTTAAGGTGTCTTCTTTATATCATACATTTCAATACAAAAACCATTTCAACATATACGAAACGAGATGGATAACAACACTAAACAAATGGATAAACCAACTAAAAACATCACCATAACTTTGTAAGAAAGCTTCCCAATATGGGTCAATCTTTCCCCACTTCTTTGGTCCTTTTCTAGTTTCTTCTACATATGCAAATTGACTTTCATCCTCCGAAAGAAAAGAATTAAATTGATTGAAATGATTAAGAAATGAATGCATTTATGAAGGTGATTATTCATGACATGAAATGAATCCTCCAACAAAACAAAATCATTTTTTATGTTTAATCTTCCATAAAACTATAATAAAACTCTAACAAATAGAAGCAAATGCTAAAATAATTTAACATATAGGCCTAAAGTTTGTGATGCGGATTTCGGTTCTCGGGAATCAAAGTAGAGCTATATTAGAGTAACATATAGGCCTAAAGTTTGTGATGCAGAGTGATAGCAGAGAGGCTATGTGATAGAGTAACATGAGAGGAACAAACGGATAGGTGAACAATGGCTCCATCATCAACATATTAGCATTCCTCATACAACTTTGCACATTAACATTTCGGTTCAAGAGCGGTGATGGTATTGGGAATACATAAATAAAACGGTCTAATAAGTAAATCATGATAGAATAGAAAAATAAGAAACTAAAAGAAAATTGAAATTTTTGCTTATAGGAGCATACCAAAAGTCTATCGAATCCTTGCCCGACCAAAAGCTCGGATGAAGCCGGGAATAACTTTTCAGCAATAAGGGTACGAGCATGAGCGACCTCGCATAGATGCAATAGCCAAATCAAAGACTTGTTCAAAGTGATAACGCTGAAGTTAAAGAATGAAGATGGTATAAGGCACTCGCATAGACGAAAATGTTATGTTCCTACTTTTCCAAATTGGAACTTGTGATAAAAGAGAACTTTGGATGGCATTCTTTTTTCGGATTGCCTTCCAAATATATACTTTATTAGTACATATTAATCTAACATGTGAATCATAGTCAATGAAAACATTGAACAACGAAATTTAAGCATGCACCCATAGTTGTAAAAGTCCAAATCCATAGCATTTTTTCGTTAATCACATACTAATTTTCAGCATTTACAAATAAAATACGACCGATCAAAGATAGAGATAGTAGCTGATCATCCATATTTCAGCACTTGCCAAAATATTCCTCCACTAATACTAACAAATTAAAGAAATTAAGCAGAAATTCTAAATTAATATCCAATCATCAACCCTCTTGATAGCTAGCCACACTAGTAATACGTATCATCCACCATGTAGTCCATTATCATTGATCTCCTCAAAATTTTGGCTTTCTATTTCCTTTGAATATTCTTCGGATACTTACTCTCCTTCTTCATCCTATCCTTTAAAGCACGAGCAACGTTAAGCTTACGATTAGCCACATTATAAAACAACTCCTAACCCATCAAAAAGCCGAGGTAAGCATCCACAATTGCTAACTTAACCTTCTCGGCGAGTCATCTCCGGATCTTCATACATATAACGAGTAAGGAGCCTTAGTAAACCACTCCACTTTCTCCTTAGGCCTTACAACATCCTTTTGTTTGCCTAACAAAGCCTTACCAACTTATCTAGATCAAACTTGCTCATATGCTAGATCCGAAATATCAACTATCAACACGGCACATTCATATCTAAGCCATCAAGTAGTTATTCCAAACTAAATGTCTAAAATGCATATATACACACTAATTAATCAAAATAATAATAATAATAATAAAGAAAAAAAGATTTCTAAACTAATTAATTAGATATCCAATATAAATCGAACTTAAAACTACAAAATAGAAAATCAAAACTTGAAACGCAAATAAGGAGATTAGAAACACTCAAAACGCAAGTACAAATCGTACTTTAAATTAGCAAATGAATCAATAAATCAACGCTAGCTCAAAACGCAGTACAGGTCATACTTTAAGTTAGTATATTAGATTGAAAATTTAAAGGTAATTAGAAAAGAAAAGAGCAAGTAATCTAATTGATTGGCCATAAAATTAATTTAGCATACTTACCATTACGAAGGCTCAAGCAGAGGAGAAGAAGCACGAAATAGAGGAGAAGAATGAAGAAGCGAGAGGAGAAGAAAAACCCTAAGAGGAGAGGAATAATGTAGCGTTCTTATCCCTTTCGGAACCAAAAAAAAAAAAAAAGCGAGAGCGAGAAGATGGAAGAAGCGAGAGGAGAAGAAGGAAAGCTCTTGAAAATAAAGTGTCCGATCTTGCCCCTTTCAAAACCAAAAAAATAAAATATGAAACACCGAAAAACCGTAAGAGAACAAATCGATGAGAATAAGCAAAGGAAGAGAAGCTGAAAAACCCTAAGGAGAGGGAAAATGAAATGACGCCCTTCACCCTTTCAGAACCAAATTAAAAAAAAAAAGAAATATAGTATGAAACAAAAGTCACGCGCACCTCTGCTTAAAACTTTGGGCGGTTTTGTAAACCGCCTCACAATCGTTCTATAAAAGCCACATATAAGTGCAAATGCTAAAAGACTTTGAGGCGGTTTATAAAACCGCCTCAACCTTTCCGCCTCTATATTCGTTTTTTGTTGTAGTGTGATTTGCAAGAGGTTAATGGATCTCAACTCAAAGCTATAGTAATGGAATGAACAATCCCATTTATTTGTGTCCCCAAATTATTGATTAGTCATGTTAATAAAAATAAAACAAATTGTGTTTCAAATAGTAGTTTAGAACTACGATGATTTTTTTTTATTTTTTTTCGAGAATTCCTCGATTAGAATGTGTGTATTTATGAAAATAGAAAGAAAAAAAAACAATTCCGAATATATACCCTTGTGCAAAAATGACTGATCAAGTTATTAATTCAACATGAAAACTATGACAATCTAAAAAATAAAGAAGTTCAATCAAAGTGACATCAAATTTCTCTATATTCCTAGTTAGCAATAAATTTTAGTTTTGATTTAGCAATAAATTTTAGTTTTGATTTCCATACAACATAATTTATATAAAAATTATAACAATATTGGTGCTTGCTATAAGTAAAATTTATTGAAATTTTAATAGGTGGTGTAATATATATTTTTAGGTTTTAAACTGGAATATGTTAATTTAAAATAATTAAAATTTGGGTTAAAAAAATTTTAAAAAAATTTAGCGATGGTTTTACATAATGACATAATGTTAGTGATGGTTTTTCAAAACCATCGCTAAATTACGATGATTTTAACGACAATTTATGAAGCCGTCGCTAATTTTTGAAGTTCAACTACTTGTTTTTTTTGTAAATTTGTGACATTTTTAATTGAATTAGTAATGGTTTTTTTTATCGTTACATTAGGGACAGATCCAAAAATCATAATTAAAAATTTAACGATAAGTATTTTTTTGAGGTTTGAAGACCGTTACTAATTTTATTTAGCCATAGTTTTTTTTAAGAATTAGATGGTCACTAATTCATCGTTTTTTGGTAGTGGTTGCTAAAAATCATCAGACTAATAGCTGTAACTGCAATAAAAGGGGCATCTAACCGAAGTAAACGAAAAAAAAATGTAAAACAATAATATGCTAGCAGCTGTATTCATTTTTTGTTTCATCATCTATTTTATCATTACTCACATGGCAATAAACAGCATGGGTTATGTTTATGGTTAGAGTCGCATCATGATGCCAATCAGGAGTCATGGAAGAATTGTGGTTCATGGAGCATTTGAGAAAGAAGCTTTAGCATGCTTGGGCGTGGCTGGCATATAACTTCCAGTGGCTGTGCCTTGGGCATGGTGAAACCTAGCCCCTCAGTCATATCCACCATTTTATCCCCAATTCTCTGCCACTCGAAACACTGAAGGAGTGAGGCCAGTGCTAATCCCACCACTCTCAGGGCCAAGCCTTCTCCAGGACAGCTCCTCCTTCCGTACCCAAAAGGCATCAACTTAAAACCATCTCTTGCCCCCTCTAGGCTGTTAAACCTCTCAGGCCTGAATTCTCTAGGGTCTGGCCAGATTTTAGGGTCGTTTTGTATTGCCCACATATTTACAGAAAGCATTGTGCCACGAGGAATGCTGAATCCTCTAACCGAGCATTCTTCTGATGACTCATGAGGTAATAGCACTGGAGCTGGTGGGTACATCCTTAGCGTTTCATTTATGATGCTGCGGAGGTAAGGAAGTTGGGCAAGATCCGCTTCATCAATCAGACGATCATGTCCGATATGCTCGTCGATTTCTTTTTTAGCCTTCTTGAGCTCTTCCGGATGGTTAAGCAGAAGGGAAAGTGCCCATTCCATTGTAGTAGATGAAGTCTCTGTTCCTGCCAATAACAGCACCTACACACACCAAACCAAAATATGGGGCAATTCCATAGCGGTGACTGGAAAGTTAAAAAAGATGATGCAGATGCAAGCAGTGGAGATATCCTACCCTACTGCTCGTAGATTAAGAAGGTGCTGCGTTATGACATCGATCATTGATCATCATATTCAGTAAATTAAGCAACATGGTATCAAGTATCTTACCACCATAAGCCCTTTGATGATATCTTCTGTGTAATAATCAGGTTCAGTTTCTTGCAGGGACAGCAGAACTTGAATCATATTCCTTTTCCTTTCACCACAGCAATCACTCTCTAATTTTCTCTTTTGCTCGTCTATCAAATACTGCAGGAAATTGTCTCTCTTCATTTGGCACTCTATCAATCTCTTCTCCTTCTTTTTCGATTTAATCCACGGTATATAGTCTCCAATAAAGGTTTGGCCACCTAGCCAGAACGTCTCAGCATGAATAGCGCGAAACCTTTTTGCTTCTTCCACATCAGAAACATTCTCTCCATAATATCGCTTTTCAGCTATCATCCGCATCATGATGTTCAGTGTCAGTTCGAAGAAAGTTGTCTTCATATCTACCATCTGATTATGATTACGAAAGAGCCCACAAATCATTGACTTTACCTCCTCCAGACGTATGGCAGAAAGCATGTGGAGGCGGTATGCAGACAAGAGTTCAATCGAGACGATTTTCCTAAGGTTTCGCCAGTGGTCACCATAGGGTGCCCAAGCAAGGCTTGTGTAGTTGTAGGCAAGGTGTTTGGCAATGAGCAAATGTGGGCGATTAGCAAAGACAACATCATTTTTTGTAAAACATTCTTCAGCTATTGAAGGGGATGAGACAACAAGTTGTCTACGAGATCCGAGTTGGAGCAACAACACTGGGCCATGTTTATTAGAGATGTTTGATAGTGTCTTGTAAATGGGCTTCTTAAGCAGGTAGAGATGGCCAATGACTGGCAGTGAAGGGAATGGAGAAGGTGGGAAGTTTTTTATCTTGACAAACACCGAATAAATTTCAATTTAATTGAGTGGAATCATTCAACATTAAAACTTTTCAATTCCTTTTTTTCTCAGTATATTTAATTTGTTAATAAAGATGAGAACGAAAGGACAGCAATACAGCTAAGAAAAGAAAATGATGATAGCAAAAGCATGGCAGTAACTCCCTTCCCAACAACTCCCAGCTACAGCAGGTATCTATTTATCTATCTAGCTATTCCCTAGCTAGCTGCTAAATCTCCAAAAGAAGAAGACAAATTCAATTAACAAACAACTGTTATATAGAAAAAGAGACTGCAGACAAATGACACAAGTAATAAAGGTTTCAATTTTCAATTTGATATATGATAGTTTTAGGGACACATGACAAAAAGGTACCCCACGTGAATTAATTCAAAAAAAAAAAATCAAACTTTTTCTTAGAAAATCTTCAATGCTTAATTTTTAATTATTTT